GGGTTACAAATTCAATAAAATACAAAATTGTCTTTTCTGACCACCAATTAGATGTGAAAGTGGACTTGGGGATACTCCAATGTGGGGACTTTACTTAAATAAATTCCGATGTGGCAATTATCTGTATGAAGGTTCCCTACCCCAGGGTAGCATAAATACAATTTTTAGCCAAATCAATTGATGAATGTGGTCAAGACCAAAATGGGCCCTACTCTGAAAATTAAATATTTTATGCGAAGAGGTTCTCTACCCCCTTAGAAACAGAGATGCCAAATAAGGGTCAACATATGAAAAAAGTTGCCAAGACCCCAAAAATAGCTTGAATCATACGATGGTTTTATAAATATGAAATCGGGTTGTACCCTTATCCGTGAGTTATGATCGATATCATGACCTGCAAAAACGATTTAAGGTATCTTGAATGTTTGGGAAGAATTTCTGGAAGGATAGAAATCCTTTTCTTACTAAAAGTCCCATTCGCTCTACTATTTTGGCATTTTACTGATTGTACTCCCAAAGAATTATCTTTTAACTGCGTTAAATTATTTCGATATCATCTATTCCGTTTCGCAATCATATAATTCAGTACTACACTTCCATGCAACCCGCCATCAATTTCAGTTCACAAGAAATCAAGTCAATTGAATAAATTGGTATTAATATTCAAATTCAAAAATAATATATAAAAAACCCTACAAATGTACGTTAGAAAAAAGTAAGTCAAAATGGAAAAAAATCATGCAAAATAAAACATTACTATTGTACTTTTTAAAAGTCAAAATGAAAATGTTAATAAATCACATTTTTACGAGATTTTTTTTTTTGGTTATTATCCTTTTTGGACAGAAGACAATTCCGAATTTGTATGAATCGTTAAAATCAGTCCAGCGGTTCTTAAGTTATAAGCGTAGTAACTAACACAACTTTCTTTTATATATATACATATATAGATTTCCTATTCATCCGTGCATTTTTATATACGTTATTTCATCGTATTTAATTAAATTATCAGTATTATAAAGGTCTTAGCATTATTTTCCAAATCAAAAGTAATTATGAATTCGTAAATTTTAGAAGGTCGTGTTGTAAGTTTTTTCCCAATTTCTACCGAATTATCTGTAACTTGACCTTTAAAGTTTTCGGTATTGTGAAATAAATGTTTAAGTATTTTCAATTCCAAAATGCATTTTGAAACAATTCTGCACAAACATCCATATCAAAATAGAAGAGTCAATTTTTCCAGTTCCGTGATTTTTATAGAGGTTTTTATCAAATTTTTTTTCTCATGAAAACGTTTCCAACTTAATTACAAATAAACAAAGACGTTTTCAACTGCTACACTTTTTTTTAAATATTTACATATTGATTTAAAGAAGTAGGTTGGTCCAGTTGCTCTGACCCCAAACAGACACGTAGGGTTGGAGGGCGAGTCAAGATTACGTCTTATACTAACTATGGAACAGATATCTTCATGATTTTTGCAAATATTAGGATTTTATGTAAATCGATCAAATGGGCGTAAACCTTACTCGGGGTAGAACAAACATTACAAGTTATCCAAACCGTCCCAGGCGTTCTTAACTGATTCAAATACCAACGACCAATTTTTTTAGATATATAGATTAAAGCGTAGGCGTCAGTTCCTCAGCGCCCGAATAAATACTTAGAGCTGGCTCTACTATTTTGCACCCCTTATATTCGGTATTTAACTGTCCCAATGAATTTCGCATATTTAGTTCTCATTGGACGGATTATTGTCAAATGAAAGAAGAAGGTCCGCGTTTTGAAATGAGCCCCGTAAGGCTTTGTCGGTCATTTTTGTTTGTTTTATTGTGTTCGCATCTTCCAGCTGAAGCACGATGTAGGTCCTGGAGTTTAAAGCTAGATCGCCATTTAACATTGTAGTGCGCACTCATTTCATATTTAATATTATTCATTTACAATTCAAAACAATAAAAAATTTACACTTCAATATAGTATATCAAATTAGAAAAACAATTCACGCCATTTTTTTTTAATTCCCGATTTTATTGGCATATTTTAACACGATTATTTGCCAAGATACCATTCCAAACTTGTATGAATTGTCAAAATCCGCCAAGCCGTTCTTGAGTTATAAGCGTAGTAGCTAACATAACTTGCTTTTATATGGTAAAAATAATTATTTATTTTGTATCCTCTTCTCAACTGATATTAATCGTATAGTTTCACTTACCCAATAAATACATAAAATCTATAAATAACAGGACAAAATTCAAAAATGTACACTCTAAAATAGTAAGTTAAAATGGAAAAATATCAAGTAACTAGCTGGCCCAGTCCACGTTGCCGGCCCGTAGTTTTAGTCTTTAATGCATAGTTTTTAAAGCATAATAATTCACAAATCTGGCTCACATAAGTGGCACAATTTTTTGTATAAATTATGATTCGATTAAATAGAAATAAATACGTCTTTCAAAAACCCTGATCATATTTTTCAGTAAGAGTTTTAGTTTGAAACGTTAAAACCTAAATAATGTAGCATATATATTAAAAAGTATACATTAATTGTTTATAATAGGCCATGTAAGATTGTTCTCTACCCCCAAAGTAGCCTAAACACACATTTTAACTCAAATCAATTCGAAAATATAATCAAAACCCTCGAAATAGGTAAAATCAGGAGGTACTTTTATATGAGCCCTACTCCGAAACATTGAAAAGTTTTAGCGAAGAGGCCTTCTACCAGATGCTAGATTCCAAATAAGGGCAAAATCAATTGAAAAATGTGACCAAGTCTCTGGTAATAGCTTAAATCACCGGATACCTTCACATAAGAGTTATAATGAAACATGGTCCTATACCTATAATTATTTGAAAAAATTTGTTTTACTTCCTAAAATCTCAAATTACCAACATTTGAGGATTTTGAAAGGGGCTATATAATTTGAGGGGGGCTATATCACAATGTAGACCAACCTGATACATATTTTATTCAAATGATTCAAATTTAAAACTTTATCGTAACTTTTGCGGAGTATAGGGCAAAATATTTGCGGGCCTTTGTGTATGGTTAAGCTATATAAAAATCCCTCTTTTGGGATTTTTATTTACAAACCGAAAAATTTCCCAACCCCAAGATTTTCTGCGGCGCAGTGTAATTACTGACGATAGCGCATAGTGCCCGTATAACGTTACCTATGTTTTAAGGTTACTTTTAAGGGTTCGGAAGAATTTTCCGAGTATATGAATCATTTTCTTACTATATTTTCAATTCATTCCACTATTTTGTATAGTCCGTATATTACAGTGCCTCTTCATATTCGGTATTTCAGTGATTTAAGTCCCAATGAATTTTGCATTTTGAGTTCTCATTAGATTGATTATTGATTACTTCTACACAAAATTCCTTATCATAGTAGATCAGTCAATTTTTTCAGTTCCTCGATTTTTCTCAAAACTTTCTTTCATAACAACGTTTTCACAGTAATTACAAATAACCAAAAGAAATTTTTTTTCTCAAATTTGGGAGTTTTAAATTTGAATCATTTGAACAAAATATGTATCAGGTTGGTCAACATTGTGACATAGCCCCTTTCAAAATCCTCAAATGTTGGTAATTTGAGATTTTAGGAAGTAAAACAAATTTTTTTAAAAAATTATAGGTATAGGACCATGCTTCATTATAACTCTTATGTGAAGGTATCCGGTGATTTTAGCTATTGCCAGAGTCTTGGTCACATTTTTCAATTGATTTTGCCCTTATTTGGAATCTAGCTTCTGGTAGAAGGCCTCTTCGCTGAAACTTTTCAATGTTTCGTATAAAAGTTCCTCCTGATTTTACCTATTTCGAGGGTTTTGATTATATTTTCGAATCGATTTGACTTAAAATGTGTGTTTAGGCTACTTTGGGGGTAGAGAACAATCTTACATGGCCTATTGTATATGTATACTTTTTAATATATATGCTATATTATTTAGGTTTTAACCTTTCAAACTAAAACTCTTACTGAAAAATAAAATCAGGGTTTTTGAAAGACGTATTTATTTCTATTTAATCGAATCATCATTTATACTAAAAATTGTGCCACTTATGTGAGCCAGATTTTTGAATCATTATGCTGTAAAAACTATGCATTAAAGACTAAAACTACGGGCCGGCAACGTGGACTGGGCCAGCTAGTTACTTGATATTTTTCCATTTTAACTTACTATTTTAGAGTGTACATTTCTGAATTCTGTCCTGTTATTTATAGATTTTATGTATTTATTGAGAGAACTAAATATGCGAAATTCATTGGGACAGTTAAATGCCGAATATAAAGGGTGCAAAATAGTAGAGCTAAGATAAGGATGTATATCCTTCCAGAAATTATTCCTAAACATTCAAGATACTTTACATCACTTTTGCAGGTCATGATATGGGGAATAACACCCGTATAAGGATACAACCCGATTTCAAGTATATTTTACATTTTAACCATATTTTTTTCATACTAATTTCGGCAAAAGTTGGTAATTTGAGAAGAAACCATCTTGGCAAACCACCTTTTCAAATTTTTTGGCTTTTATTTGGCACATCTGTTTATAAGGGGGGAAAACCTCTTCTCATAAATGTTTTCGGAGTAGGGTCCATGTTAGTCTTGACCACATTCTTGGATTGATTTGCCAAAAAATTTATTTAGGATTGATTAGGATTGATTTGCCAAAAAATTTATTTAGGCTACTCTGGGGTAGGAACCATTTTACAGTCTATGTGAATAGACTTTTTTAAGAATAGTCCCCACATTAGTCTACCCCCAAGTCCTCTATCCCATTCTGCCCTCAATTATGAGGTGGACAAAACTAAATACCACGCAGGGCGGTACTGTAAACGTTGGAAATATAAATTCCAAATTGCACCTGATTTGAATGAACAATGATGCTAAGCTCTACAATACCAACAATTGAGCTTAGTTTTCACATGAGGTTATTATAGATGTTCTATATCATATAGGTTTTTAACACTCAAAGTGGCTTACCTGGATCTACAACAACAACAACTCCTACTATCAATTGATGTTCTTCTAAGACTGTATTTGTGACCAGTGGTACAAGATCGAGAGCTTCTGATTCATTTCCATCCAACTCAACGACAACGACAAGCAAGTTGGTCCAGGTGAAAACCGCACTACAATTTTGTATGTAAAATAAACAACTAAGAATATATAACCATGAGAATATACAATAATAACATACCTTTCGGCAATTCTTTTGTGACATCTTAAAACAGAATTTTCTATGTCGATTGGATGGTAATTCATACCTCGCAAAGCAATTACTTCGTCAAGGGCACCAACAACGTACACCGCATCGTGCTGTTCTGATTCTCCTTGTTCGCTTAGTGTTACCGAATTACCTGTAGTTGGAATTAAATTGGCGTGTGATTGATTTAAGGAGTTGATGGAATCATTATCACTATCTCGGCTTGCTATACTAGGAGTGGTTTCATCTAATACAGAAACGGATTGGGAGCATTCAGTTCGTCTTAAAAATCCCAAGTACCCAGTTCTCGCATAAACTTCAGTGGTCGCGCCGGTGACAAGTTTTGCATTGAAGTGATCATTATAGTCAGTTTCATCACCATAAATGGTGTAATATCCATTCGCATTATGTGATGATTGCACCTATAAAACAGTTAAAATAATTTCAGAACTGCTTTTTATTTAAAATATATTTAAACTAATACCCATATTTCGCCTAAATGTGAATCTCCACAATGTCCCTTAGTTTCAGGATTAGCAATAATAACTTTAACACCAGGTAAAAGTTTCCCCGACTCGATAAGACATAATGAGTTAGGAGCTCCTCTCTCCACAAGTGCAACCCTATTGTTACGAAGAGCCCTCAAATCAACATAAACCTGAGCACTTTCTGCTGAACTAGCCCCTTGGACGCATATTGCAGGGTTAACTCTACATCCAAACGATGTGGAGACACACCTGGTGTTTAACCCAAGCGCCTGGAACAGTTTGCAAAATTGTTGAGTTAATTGAACTCTGGGTCGTTCTTCAGCAACTACTACGCAAGTGCGCACACATCTTAGATCTATATTTCTTTGTTTCAATACAGGTATTGAATTGCTTAGGGCCTTGGTGCAAAGTTCAATAACGCCATATGAACAAAATGTATCACGTACTCTATGCTGCGATAAAGTGGACAACCAAAGACTTGGATTAGCTTCAACTTCGTATGGAGCAATTAAAATTGAGTGATGACCACTGTAAACCCCAATAAGGGTCCACATAGCAAATCCCAGTCCACAATATGGGTCTAAGCATAAAGCCACATGTCTAGAGGGGTACAGCTCACATGCAAGCTTTAAACTTGCACAAATACTGGAAAGAGATCTAAACACAAAATACAAAAAATAAGCAAGGAATGCATTGTCAATTTAACATATTACCGATGATTTATATTAACGCCACTTAGTCTACCGCATGTTGATACGCTGAAATCCAGATAGGCTGTACTATCCAATTGGGCATTATGAACATTTGGGAGCTTCCTCTTTGGATTCTCATCAATATCCAATATAGTTGGCCATGTCTTTGGATCTATTGAAGATGCTGCTTCCCTGGATTTTAACAATTTTATTATAGATTGAATAGACAGCACAATAACGCTTTTCGATACATCAACAATCATTCGAACAGTTGGCAATGTCGTTATTAAATTTTGGGGATGCGGAGGTCGTATGGTTATTGGAATAGCTCCCAAATAAAGACAGCCGTAAAATGCACATAGCAAATCCAAGCCGGGGGGGAATATCAATGCTAAAAGGAATATAAAACTGCATATTCACCTTAAAAACTGGTATCTACTGTTTCTTACCAACATGATCATTAGGTTCTATTTTTCCTTTCTCCTGCAATAAGGCAGCAATTTTTTCGGCGCGTTTATGTAACTCCGAGCATGTGAGAGTTTTAGCAATGGATCCTGTAAATAGGATTAGAAATTTGGGCATTATTATTTGTTGTATGTAAATACTTATCTTATTCTTAGAATATGTATCATATCCATGAAACCATTTATATATGTAAGGAACAAACATCGGGGGTACTTATAAGCATATCGCTACTTTAATATAAAATCGTTTCAGGTCGTTCTTATTTCACATCAAAGTTTTGCCTATTTTTATAGAAAATCCTGTGTTATTTAATTCAAGTGGATAATAAAATAAAATAACAACGCAAAATAAAAATACCACCTTGTATTTCACAGGACAACATATATTACAACGTTACTTTCCCACCATGGTAAAATGTTTTGTACGTTCGTATTACTCAAATACGTAAGTTCCATATTTAAAAATCTACCAAACAATGACGTTTTAAAAGTTGATACTTTGTTAAATTCGCTCCATTGTAGTATTTCCAATTACAAACATTCAAATTTTTTGTATTATTCATTTATATGTTCAATACACAAACAAGAAATTGCTTCAATTGTCAACTTTGAAATTTTGTACGACCGACGTATTTGGGTAACTGTACGTACGAGTACGTCGAATTTTAGGTAACACTGTTAAAGCTATGTGTATTGAAAAAATTATAGGGTGCTTCACATAAAATGCCTATGGCATTACTTGTGGCACAGAAATGTAGATCACAATATTTTTTTTTTTCTTCGAACGTTCCCACGCCTCACATTCCCACCCCTGCCGACCGAGAGGCGACCTCTTTTTACGGAGGGATCGCGTACACACCATGATCCGCATCATAATGGGAATTCAGTAGGAAATTGAAAACCAGCTACAGAATCTAGTTCATCAGCTAGTTTGTCAAATAATAAAACATGTATGTGAATTGTTTAAAAATAAAATTATTGTGGCACTTAAAAATCCTATTTGACAAATTGTTGGAACTAAATACTATTTGAAAAGTACGTGAAAAATTGTGCACAGAAATCTGAATTGTGGCTCAATCCAGTCTCGAAATTCTAAGCAAACATTCCGGACCAACATATTGCTGGGTTGACGTCCGTTGGTAGTCCGTTCCTCCAAGCAAATCTGGGAATAGAACTAGTTCTATTCCCCAGTCGTGACCGGAATGATGAGTAAAAATGCAGTAAGTTCGACTGGGCGGAACTTTGAATACCCTCCTCTATTTGGAACGAATTTGGAAATTTTAAAATTTTTCCTAAAAATACCAAATATAGGAAGCCAAATATATTGGGGTCTATACAAAGACATGGACTTGCATAGGCAACTTTTGTCATAGGCATTACAATATTGAAATACGAAACTTTCCGGTGAATAATGTAGCTAAAATCATCAAAATACGGAATATAGGGATATACCGTTATGGGGGGGGCTATACTAAAATGTGGACCTATGTAGACAAATCTCTTCCAGGGGTTAAAGTACTCAGAAGGAACTCCTTTTGTGGATTCTAAGACAATTCTACTGAAAAAATTGGCTGAGATCACCAAAAGACCGAATATCGGGGGTACCGTTATATGGGGCCACACGTAGACCTGGACATATATAGGCATTCCGCTTCTATGAGATAAAGTACTCACAAGGAACTCCTTGTGTGGATTTTCAGACAATTCCATTGAAAAATGTGACTACTATCATTTTTTCTTACTTTGGCTTTTTAGTATTTAAATCCCATATTTGAAACAGCTTTTGAAAAGGCGACCTCTACATGTCAGTTTATGGTGGAATTAGAAAATATAAATCTATCAACCTTTGGAAGTTTTTCTGCAATTCATTCTTGCTCTTTTCAAAGGTTTTTGGAAAAAAATGATTTGCTTGAAAGGTAATAGAAGGTTTGTTTCTTTTTACCAAAATTTGTTACAAATCGTCCATTTTGCCGTAACAAAACCCAGCAATCAACACCTTCAAACAGAAAAAAATTTAATTGGTTCAAATTTCCCTGTTTACAATATTTTTTTTGCAAAAAAAAAAAAAAAAAAAATATGTTCAATATGTACTCCACCCACCAGTATGTACTCCACTTGTCAATTAGAATTTATCTTGAAATGTGTGTGTATCTATTTCTGTTTTAAATTTAAGTATTCCTAAAAAGACCCCTTCGCAATATTATTTTTTCATACTTTATTAAAATCATCAGTTCAGTTGATCAGGTATTTCTTGTCGACTGACTTTTATTTAGAAGGCGAGTACTGTGCTGCGACACAAGCTAAAACAAATTGTATGATTTAGCAAATATTGGAATAGTATTTTTTTTAATTTGCGAGTGTTTTTCCTTTTTTTCATATTTTTGGTTTAAATTTAATTTGTGATTTTTTAATTGCAAAAAAGACGAAATCAACAACAAATATTTAATAAATTCCGTTTCATTTGGTTCTGAACACGCACTATGGTTACATATTTATCACCCAATTGAAAATCAAATAATGATCATCGAAGATCCCATTTGAACTTGCAGTGTGTGTAAAGTTATGTTTGTTTTCAAACGGTTGTGAACATAAAAATCTCCACTAAAATTTATTGTTTGATCCCAACATGTCCGTCAAGCATTCAACGCCACAAAATGTATGACACAATAACAAGTTTAGTTTTAACATATAAATAAATTCCTGTGCTAGCCTCTAAATGATTAAAACGTTAATTAACATTCTAAAATACATATTTCAACATACTTTTTTACACAAAATTCCTATTTTTGGTTTTTTTTGTTTTTATCTTTGCTTCAATTTATCATTCGTGAGGCCGATTTGTTCAGTTTTCACAAATAAATCTTGAAACAATTATATGGCAATATTTTGTTAACAATTGACTTCATCAATTGAGAAACAATAAAAATTTGCTAATTGTTTCAAATAAAAATATAAAAATGCAAATTTAATTGTGTATTTGTTATAAAAACCACATTTTTATTGCTTAAAAGTGTTTTTAAGGTACAAGTTCTCAAAAAAATATAATTTAGCTTGCAAAATTCAAAATGGTTTCAAACCAAAAAAAAAAAAAAAAAACATTTTCTCAAGATGATAAATGCGGAATTAAAATCACTTTCGTATGGAATTCGTTCATGTGACATGCTTGTATGCTATCAAATTGTATGAAGGGTAAAGAAGTATCAAAAATAACTTATAAATCCCTGAGGGTGCTTAACTTAATAAGAATTCGGTTGCAAATTTTTAAAATAGATGGTTGGGATCATTTGATCTGGAATAAGACAATATGCAAACTAAGATCTTTAGGCATGTCACAATAATTCCGAACGAAATCAGTTTTAATTCCGTATGTAGCTTCTTCAGAAAACGAAAATTTTTTTCCACTTTGTATTTTTATGGAAACTTGTAACTTAAAAAATTTATAAACAAGTAATGAAAATGTTGTTTCAAAAGCAAGCATACAAAAAAGCTCATAAATTAATGCCCTTAAAAAATTCAAGTATTTTCAAATATTTATTTTGGAAAGTTAATTAACGTATTGATCATTTAGGACAGTGCGTCCAATGCATCTCTGAAATTCCTCAGTCTATTTATAGTATTGTGTTCATTACTTTGCGCCTCAATTACAGAAACGATAGAAACTCCCGGCACTGTGTAAAAATTCATAAACTTAATTTTCTTTTCGCACAAACAAGGCTTTTAACCAGTATATTTTAACAGAATAATTTTCACAATTTCCACTTCTACAGTGTTTTTGTTCCTCTAATGTTCACCAAATCGATCGGAATCTAATCTGCAGAAAAAAAAACAAGTTAGAACGCAGCAATACCCTCCCCTCCACCATTTAAAAACGAATTTGGGAATTTTCAAAAAATGAAATCCTAAAAAAATTTTGTTAAAATTATAAAAATACCGAAATACCCGTTATATTGGGGTCTACACGACGTGGACCTACATAGGCATTGTTTGTCATAAACCATGTCATAAGCCTTTAACATATTCAAATTCGAAACTTAAAATAAACGCTGAATAATGTAAATAAAATCATCAAAATATCGTTATACCGGTGCTGTGCGAAGACCTGGACCAGCATAGACAATTTTCTGTCACAGGTTGTAGCATCCATTACGAGCTTCAAATACGACATCTCAAACAATTTCGGTGGGTATTGTACCTAAACTCGTCAAAATACCGAATATAGGACCGACAGAGACAATTTTCTGTCACAGACTGTAGTTTCCATTACGAACTCTAAATACGTAATCTATGATGAAAATGATTCCAGTGAATAATGACGCTAAAATCATCAAAATACCGAATATTGCGAGGTACCGTTATAAGGGGGCTATACAAACACGTGGACCTGCACAGACAATTTTCCGTTATAGACTGTAGTATTCATTACGAACTTCAAATACCAAATTTGAAACAATTCCGGGGAATAATGTCGCTAAAATCATCAAAATACCGCATATAGGGAGGTACCGTTATATGGGGGCTGTACGAAGACGTGGACCTGCACAGACAATTTTCTGTCTTAGGCTGTAGTATCCATTTCGAACTTCAAATACCAAATTTGAAGCAATTCCGGTGAATAATGTCGCTAAAATCATGACAATACCGAATATCGGGGCGAATACCGTTATATGGGGGCGATATGAAAACGTGGGCCTACATGGCCTACATTTACGAACTTAACCTGCCTACTGGAAAAATAAACATGTGTGCAAAATTTAGCCTTCCATCTCAATTCGTTGGAAAGATAGCGTAATTACAACATACAGGCAGACGGACAGACACACAGACGGACATGGCTAAATCGTCTTAGAATTTTACGCTGATCAAGAATATATATACTTTGTTGGGTCAGACATGAATGAAATGAAACGGAATGACAAAACTAATATACGCTCCATAGTATGGTGGAGGCTATACAAAACAATTGGAATTTGATATGACTATTTGATCTAAAATAGCGTAGGAGTGAAATCAATATATTTAATAATAATCGTATCTTAACAGAGAACACAGAACCTCTTTTTAAAAAATTATAACAACAGTGTATGGCTAGT